CGGGCACCCGCCTGGCCTGGCTCGCCGACCCCGACGCCCAGAGCAACTTTGACTTTGATGGCAAAAGCAACGAGTTCTTCTTCGACCGTCACCCCGGGATCTTCTCCTACGTCCTCAACTACTACCGCACGGGCAAGCTACACTGCCCCGCGGACATCTGCGGACCCCTCTTCGAGGAGGAGCTGACCTACTGGGGCATCGACGAGACCGATGTGGAGCCCTGCTGCTGGATGACCTACCGCCAGCATCGCGACGCCGAAGAGGCCCTGGACATCTTCGAGAGTCCTGAGCCCGGTGGAGGGGCGGGTGGAGAGGAGCCCGAAGAGGAAGGGGGTAGGGAGATGGCCCTTCAACGGCTGGGTATGGATGACAGGCCGGCAGGGGCAGCGGGGGCTGCCGGAGGGGGTGGCTGCTGTCGGAATTGGCAGCCCAAGATGTGGGCGCTCTTTGAGGATCCCTACTCGTCCAAGGCGGCAAGGGTAAGGTCCCGAAACGCGCTGGCGGGGAGGTGGGATGGGGCTGTGCTGGGGTTGCGTCTTCATCCGCCCATCCCCGTGGGTGAGACGGGCTCTCCCTATGGGTTACGTGGGCCCCCTGTGGCCACCCCTGTCCTGCCATGGGTCATGTTGGCCATCTCCCATCCTATGGGAAGTCTCTTCCATCATTTCCCCATTCCCTCCTAACACATCACACCCGGGGAAGGTGGGCTGAATGCGAGGGTGATACCCCTCACTTTGCACCCTTGGGTGCTGCTGGGGCACCTCCTGGGCACCCGGAGCTGAGGAATTGTCAGGGAGAGCCCTTGGCAGTCCTGAGTCCTGGCGGAGTTTCAGGATGCTCAAGGACAGGCGCGATTGCTTGGGTTCCTCTCGCTGGTTTGTGTCTATACCCACACCAAAAATCACCTTGAACGGCCCAGGTTTGGGGTGGGGGAACAGGGCTGGTGCCCGCTGGCACCCAAACTGGGTCCTGCAGCAAATGGGATCCTCGTGGTTGTCCCTAAGGAGCTCGTGGTTGTCCCCAAGCAGCTCACGCTCCTCTCCTACAGCAGCAGCAGCCCCACAGGACAACCCACGTGCAAGCCCCCCTCGTCCCAGCACCCCTCGTCCCAGCATCCCCTGTCCCCGCACCCCTGTCCCCCACCGTCACGGCGTCGGTGCCACCCACACGCAGCATACGGTGCCCATCAGCACGTGCGGGCGCAGGCTCTCAGCCGCGGTGAACACACAAACACAGGCGCACGAGCGCATCCACGTGCTAACCCCCATCCCCCTCCAAGTCCCCCCCCTCTGCACACACAGACGACCCCTACCCACAGCCCAGGCCGTATCCCCCATAAGCGGGTGCTATTTGGGCTCCCAGCACCATTCTGCGCACGCGTCTCCTCTCCCAGTTACTCCCAGATCACCCCAAAACCGCTGCCACCCCCCCGACTCCATCCCTGTGCCTGTGCCCCCCATTATATCCTGTTTATGCAGCTATAGGCGTTTGGGCTCTAAATGAATTCTGGATGTTTTTAGAGGTGTTAAAAAAAGCCCCCAAACTCAACCCGTGGATGGTACGAAATCCTGCAGGCATCTCACACCCACCAGCGGCGCGCGGGGCAGGGGTCACTTTGTCAAGGCGGTGTTTTTGCAGCAAACGTAAGAGCAGCACACGCACACGATGCTGGGGCAGCAGAGCTTTGCTCGGTTTTAAAAGGGGGGGCCTGGTCCTTTGCCCGTTTCTGGGGGCTCGTTGCCTCTGGGAGCTCGTTGCCTCTGAGTGGTGCAAAGCTCCAAATTAAAAAATTAAAGGAAAAAACCTGAAATAAACCCAAGCAGAAGAATTCAACTTGGATTTTTCAAGTTATTATTCGGTTCTGTTTTTCCCCATGTGCTGAGCTGCTCTCAGAAAGGCGTTCGTTTTAGCAGGAGGAAGGTGTTGGAGGGGGCAGGGGTGGCTGTGATGGGAGCCCTGACTGGGACCAGTCTGCACTGGGAGCTTCCCGCTTCCTTCTTGCAGCTCAGGCACGGCCATGGGGACTGTCACCGATCAGCAGTGACACTCACGGGCCCTTCTGTGCCCTGTTTTCCACTCTAAAATATCAGCGTGGGTTCGCAATGGCTTACAAGAACTGCTGTGGCAGAAGGGGAAACTGAGGCACAGAACAGTGCAAGAGAATGCAGCTTCCCAGTGCACCCAGTTAATGCAGGGAGCCGTTACTGGTTTGGCATCGCCATCCAGCCCTAGGATGCTCTGGGACCCACGAGCATCTCTGCAGGTGCTATGTTCGTGGATGGCGTTTTGGGGGGCTGAGGTGAGATTTCTCCAATTCTGCCCCATTTTGGAGGTGGCAGCGGGAAGGATCATGGTCCTGGGTTGTGTCGATGGTGATTCAGAGCCTCGGGGGCTGAATTTCTCCCTCCTTGCCCACGGAGCAGCCCCTCGGGGCCTGACTCAGTTGGCTCTGGGCTGTTTCCATCCTTCCCCATTTCCACCGCTCCTCTCTCCTGGCTCCTCTTGGGCTGGCAACTGCACGAGAGTGGGGTTAGAAATTCCCTTTTTGGGTTTTTAGCCTTTTTTCCTTGCGGCATCGATGCCCATGGGAGTCTTGGCTCCTGCGTCTCATTCAGTCACAGTGAAGATTTGGTCTTAGCGTAGCTGCTAGAGTGTAAAATTCTTCTTTTCCCCATGGAAAGCTGCCCTGGGTGGGATTTTACCTCAACCCACAAACTTTGCTCACTTGCAGCTCCTCATTTTTCCCTTTGTGGCCCAATCTGTGGGGTCCTGACCTTGCTCCCATTGGGATTTCCAGGCTGATGACCCCCTGTAGGGTCATGGCTTTTTTGGGAACACCCATCGCAAGCTGTTGAGCGCACGCTGAGGTCACGTAGATGCTTGCCAGGTTCTGGAGGACTCATTTGGTGGAGCTTTAGGTGCTGTACTGGTGGTCACTGGGTATATACACAGATTTGATTTTATTTTTAAGACAGTTTTAGGGAAAAACCCTTGAGTTTGGAGCAGAGGCCAGAGCTGAGATGAGACATTTCAGGTCAGATCTTCAGCTGGCACCAAACCAGAGCAGCGCTATTGACTTTTGGAGGGGTACACGATGGATGGCACTGGCTTTGAACCCGACTCTCCTATTTTTGGAGGCTGCTTTTGCTCCTGGGGATCCATCAGCTCTCACCTCTGCAGCTCACACTGCAGGGCTGTTTCTCCTGATTTTTGTAATCTTCACCTTTTCCATAGGGGGGACTCAGGAATGTTACTAAGCCTTCAGAAAAGCGAATTATTTTGGCTGTGCCACCGCTGTCCAGACACACTTGGCCGGTTCAACCTTTCTTGAAGGTTTTTCTTGGGCCTTTCTTAAAGATCCCACTTCTTTGTTGGATTTTCTTCCCGAATTGTGGAATGTGGGTGATGGAGCTGCCCCCAGTGGAGCCGCATCCCAGTGCGTGGTCCAGCACCAGCTGCTCTGGGGGGGGGATGCAGAGCATCGCAGCCTGTCCCCACACCAGGAAGGGGACACAATCACCTTCCAGAGGTTTCTCCATCAACCAAACCCTGCCTTAAACTTCACACCTAACTTTTGGAGGGCTGATGCTCTCCGTGCTGGAATCTAGGGGGTTTGCCCTTGGGGATGCCCCTCAAGGATGCTGGGGGCAGGCTCGGGGCTGCTGTTGTGCTCCCTCCGGAGCCAGGTTTTATCCAAGCGTGACTCAGGCCGTCTCTGCTGCTGATTCACTCCAGCCAGGACCCAGCTTCACGGTGTGGCTGCTGCTCCTCGGGTGGGCTCGACAGCTCAAGGTCACATCCTGCGTGGTGGGGTTGGCAGCAAAGGGTGCTGTGGCGAGCTCTGCTCCCGGGAAGCCAAAACTGCTGCACTTTTGTGCCAGAGGGAGGTGGAAGAAGCAGCTTTCCTGCTCAGAGGCTTTTTATTTTTTTTTTCGGGGACTCTTGGAAACAGATGCTCTGGGTAATGGACTCATCATGAGCTCATCCTGTCGGGGCTGAGCAGGATTGATGGAGAGGTGACAACGCGGTTGCTTTCTGACACAGCCTGCGATTCCCACCAGTCTCTTCTTGCTCGGAGCCCAGGCGATTGATGAAGGTGGAGGGGACAGGGGTCTCACCGGAGGGGAGAGACGGGAGCATCTGGGTGTCCCCAGGCCCAGGATCATTGGGACATTGAGCTCTGCCTGCTCCTTTCCTCGTCCTGTTCTCCCAGTGCTGGGACCGTCAGTGGACTCATCCTCCACCACTGAGCAGGGATGGGGCAGGAGAACATCTCTGGTCCATCCAGACCCCAAACCTCACAGTGGTGAATGGGGTGAACATCTCATCTGAGGGTTTGCAATGAACATGGGGGAAAGCTCTTTGAATGAGTCCTCTCAAAGTTTCATGTGTATTCCCAGTGGAGGCTTGCTCCAAAACCAAGGTGTTGCAGGCCTCTCTTCATCCCCATTGCTGTCATCTCTGACACATCTCCATCCACAGCTGGAGCCATATCATAGCACTTGGAGGAAGGTCCTGGGCTGATGGCCCCAGACCCTGAGATCTGCTGTCAACTCATGGGACAGGTCCAGGGAGCCTTCCCCATTCTCCATCCTTGGTCCTGGGAGCAGAGCTCCTGGGGAGTTTTGAGCCTCTTGCACTCATTTTTGTTGTATGAGGACCTCTCCCATCCCTGTTGTCGCTATTCACTAGAAGGGATTAGAAGAGATGTACCCAAGGCAGGTGACACCAGATGTGTGTCTCAGCCTGCCCCAAAGTTGTTGTCACAGTGGTTCATAAAATTGCTGCTGTCTTTCAAAGAGGAGATGTTGACCCAACTCAACTGATCAGGAGGGGTTGACCCAAACCAGCTCATGGTCTGTGTCAATTTTACTTTTACAGGTCGTGGCTTTCGCCTCGCTCTTCTTCATCCTGGTCTCCATCACCACCTTCTGCCTGGAGACGCACGAGGCCTTCAACATCGACGTCAACGTGACGGAGACCCTCGTGGTTGGCAACACCACGACGATCCTGCTGACGCATAAAGTGGAGACGGAGCCCATCCTCACCTACATCGAAGGGGTCTGCGTCCTGTGGTTCACCCTCGAGTTCCTGGTTCGCATAATCTGCTGTCCAGATAAGCTTCTCTTTGTTAAAAACCTGCTCAACATCATTGACTTTGTGGCCATCTTGCCCTTCTACCTGGAGGTAGGTCTCAGTGGCCTGTCCTCCAAAGCTGCCCGGGACGTATTAGGCTTCCTACGGGTGGTCCGTTTCGTCCGGATCCTCCGGATCTTCAAGCTGACGCGGCATTTTGTGGGTCTCCGGGTGCTGGGCCACACGCTCCGGGCCAGCACCAACGAATTCCTGCTCCTCATCATCTTCCTCGCCTTGGGGGTCTTGATTTTCGCCACTATGATCTACTATGCCGAGCGGATCGGAGCCAAGACATCCGACCCCCGTGGGAGCGACCACACTCACTTTAAGAACATCCCCATCGGGTTCTGGTGGGCCGTGGTCACGATGACCACCCTGGGCTACGGCGACATGTACCCCAAAACCTGGTCGGGCATGGTGGTGGGGGCTCTCTGTGCGTTGGCGGGGGTGCTCACCATCGCCATGCCCGTGCCTGTCATCGTCAATAACTTTGGGATGTACTATTCGTTGGCCATGGCCAAGCAGAAGCTGCCAAAGAAGAAGAAAAAGCATATACCCCGTCCAGCCCCGCTGGACTCCCCTACCTATGGCAAATCCGAGGAAAACTCCCCCCGAAACAGCACCCAGAGCGACACTTGCCCGTTGGCAGTAGAGGAGGGGGCAGCTGAGTGGAAACGGTCAGGTGAGACCCCCAAAGGTGGGGCTAAAGGGATGGGGGGACCTCCGGGAGCCCCCCAAGGCAGGGCTTGTGGTCCCCTGCATCCCAGAGTTCCTGTGGACTGCCCTGCTGCAGGACATGGCCCCCGGCTCTTGGGGTGGTGAGAAGTTGGTGCAGAAGAGGCTGGGGCGCATGGGTGTCTGGGTGTTGGGTGCTGTGTTGGTGGACCAGGATGCTGCAGATCAAGATCCCCCTTCAAGAGGGAAAGGGATGCAATGGGGTCCCCAAGGGAAAGGCCATATCCTGCTCTCCTAATGGCACAGATCAAGTCACCGTGGTGTGGTTCGAGGTGTTCCTACCTTGCCCACCTCTTCCTCACCCTGACAGAGGTCAGACCATTTGCCAGCTGCCATCTTAGCCTGGTAATGCCCTTGGGGTCGATTTTCCTTTGCTTCCTCCCACCGTAAATCAGGGCAAGCTTCACCAAAAGGGATAAACCTATGGATATTCCCCAGGGCTTGACCCCGTCTCTGGTAGATGTAGCACCCCTGTATGGCAAGACCACCGCTGCTCCAAATCCCGTGCTCAGGCAGGAGCAAAATCAGCCCCTGTACTTTCATTATTTGGTCTCTTGCACTCAGCTGAAGTTTGGGGTTTGGCCAGCGAGGAGAGGGCACGGCCCCAGCTGTGGGCAATCATGGGTGGGCACCATGAGCCTGGGAGATGGCGAGCACCCTGCCATGGTATCATTGGTGGCCATGGAGGCTGCTTTGCCCTTTCCATCTTGGTTTGCTGTTAGCAGCATCTCTGGAGCAGCCGCCTTTGCAGTGCAGAAAGAGAAGAAACCACGATGGGGTTGTGTCCTGCACCAATATGGCATTCATTGAGGTCAGCCCTGAGCAGCCACGCATGTGGCCATGGGTGTTTAACAGTGATGGTCCTTCACCCATGGGGACACAAGGAACTCCCAGGGAGGTGTTTTCTCTTATAAATCTGCCTTTTCCATGTACCTATGCATCCCATCTGCCCCAGGAGCCCTGGAAATGGATAGCAATGGGAGCAGCTCAACCCCATCCCAACCCAATGATCCAGGAGCTCAGCCCAGCCCCTCACCTGGCACAGCATCCTCTCAGCTAATGAGCCACAGAGTCAAATGCCATAAATTAGCACTTCCCCACTAACCTGGTGTGAATTTTGGAGAGCCAGTTCCCACCAATTAGGTGGGCAGATCTCAAAGACCAGGAGTGTTGCATCCCTAGCCAACCCTGCTTGGCTTCATGCAGGGTATATAACCCTCAACAGGAGCTGCTGTTTGGGATTAAAATTTGGCATGATCCTACTTTCTTGATCTCTAAGTTAATGTATCCAGACTGGGACTAGTACCTGGACTGGGGGGTGTTGGTTTGAGGCATCTACAATGTGCTCTTCTGCTTCCTTGCGTGGTCTAGGCAAACTTTTCTGGCACCTCATCCTGGGGGTTTATTGACTCCTGATGGGTCTCCACTGCCTTTTTTGCAGACTCTAAGCAGAATGGCGAGGCCAATGTGGTGCTGTCGGACGAGGAGCAGCCGCTGTCGCTGACCGACGAGGAGAAGCGGCCCATGCGGCGCTCCAGCACCCGGGATAAGAACAAGAAATCCTCCACGTGCTTCCTGCTGGCCACGGGCGACTTCTCCTGCACGGCGGATGGAGGCATCCAGAAAGGTACGGCTGACGCTGGGGAGGGCGAGGCGGAGGTTTGTCACATCGATCCAGGACTGGGGTTCATCTCCATCTGCCTGCCTGGCTGTGCTCTGCTCCTCAAATCCACTCGTCTTCCTGCCTCTCCATCTGCTTCATCTCCGTCCACCACGTTTCTCCGTGCCCTACCCCTGTGGTTTGCTCCTCCTCCCCTGATTGCCACTGTCTGGGGTCTGTGACCTCCATTTAGGGTCTGTGACCCCATGCTGGCTGCTCTGCCCAGTGTGGGGACAGGTCTGTCCCTTCGCTCCCCACCTCCTGTCCCTCCATCTGTTCTCCCTGGGCCTCAGTCGCCCACCACAGGATGATGAGAGGGGGACATCTGTCCTGGGGAGGTGGTCAGGTTGTGACCAAAGGTGGGCAAAAGGCTTCCAATAAGGGGAAAAAAATCCCCAGGTTTTTCTGTTCCTCTCCTCCTTTGATGTTTTTTGGTGGGTTCAAGCGTGGGGAGCCGCGATGTGTCAAGTGCTGCCTTGCCAAAAGCGCCGGGCTGCCAGAGAGGCTGTCTCCTTGGGCTTGGAAAGGGAGCTTTGCGCGCTGTTGAGGTTTTCAGTGGGAAACTGTGGGGGAGATGAGTCAGGAAAACACAAAACTCTTCTTCCTGTGACAAAACAACAGTCTTCTTCAGCCTGCTCCCTTTGCACCAGCCTTCTCCGCTCCACCAGCGCAGTAAATCCAGTGCCTGCCCGAGCCACAGAATCCAGCAGCACCCTCAATTGCTGGGTTAATTCTCAGGACACAGCTCAGTTATTTGGTTTTGCAGCTTTTCTTGTGCACCTGGGGTGGTGTGGGGTGATGGAGCTGCAGAGCTGACCTCCCTCTGCCTCCTCAGCACCAGTTAATCCCAGTTACTCGCAGGGAAGTGGTGTGTAAGCTGGGACCAGGGAGGAGGAAAGGTGATGTCCTACATCTCTGATTGCACACCAAAACTGCCTCCTCAGCACCAGTTAATCCCAGTTACTTGCAGGGAAATGGCGTGTGAGCTGGGACCAGGGAGGAGGAAAGGTGACGTCCTACATCTCTGATTGCACACCAAAAGCTGCTGGCTCGTGGTGTTGGTGCTTTGGAGGCCCTCAAGGGTTTGCTGTCGTAGCTCTAAAGACTAAAGCTCTAAAGGGTTTGGGACATTGGGAGGAGTTTGGGGACAATCACATTTATTACACCAGTGGAAGCAAATTGGTTGCTTTCTCCTGGGAAATCAAGGATTCCCTTTGGTGCTCCTGCTCAACCTCGTCCCTTAGAAAGAGGGGAAAAACGTACTGTCCAAGTATTTGCTTGGAAAGCCTCAAGTGTTTCCTGGAAGTTCCACCTTCTGAGAAGTTGGTCTCTTAATGCCTGCTAATGAGAAGAGGTGAGGAGGCCCCAGTCCTGCCCCAGACTGGGGGATGGATGCTGCACTGGAAGGGATGAAACCAGTGCTTCATCCTTCCAAGATGCTCAACTGAAGCATTGGAGCTTGGTCCAGCTGAAGCCAGGGGAAGTGGAGTAGATCCAAGAGCTGAGCATCCAGCGCTGCTCTTGCTGGGCTCCCAAATCACATCACTTGGTTGCAGGGGGAGGGTTTTTTTCCTTGTGTAGTGGCAGCTATTTGAAAGAGCACTTTGGTGATCTTTCTTGGTTTGGCCTTTCTGGTGGTCTTCTTCGGTCTTTTGATCTTTCTGGTGTCTTTCCTGCAAGCGTCAGCATGCTTTATGCAATTAAAAACAGATGTGGATGTGGGTCACTTAACCCAACTTTGATGGAGTGGTCGTGCAAGAGCCAGAGAATGGTGGATCTGGTGTGTCCAGAGTGATGTGCAAGAGCTTTTGGGAAGAGGGAACCTCAGTATCTCTGTCCTGAGTTGGGCATGGACCGGTGCGATGCTGTCCTGGCAGGTCAGGGCTGATGTCTCCCCTGGTG